TCAATGCCTACAGTTAGTAAGAAAAATAAAATATGGAAACACAGAAGTAAAAGAAAGAAGATAGGATACCAAGTGGCATATTGTGTGACACAAGAGACCATGGAAGATGAGAAGTTACCTGCAAATTGCCACTGTTACAGAAAATGAAGTGTGTGCAATCATGTTCAAGTAGAATGAACGCCTCCAATCAACCTCTGATAAACTTTCACCCAGTAGTTGATCCAACTGGTTAACAAAAGTTATGTTAGGTGAGCACCATTGTCAATTTCAGAATAAACAAACACAGTACAAAGGCCTCAATATCATAGCCAAGTCATTGACCAAAAGACATCAGTAACAATGATTTGAATAGGATATTCCACTTCCCACAATACAGTAGCCACAAGTGATGCAGATAGCTAATTGCAATAAATACGGATATAGTTTTTTTAACAAAAAGAAAATATTATACATCACGTCACTCAAGCCTCAAGATTTATATACTGCCGGGATAAAGCACATTGTTACAGAAAAAAGCTGCAAAGACAACTTTAGCATTTTTTAATAGGACAAAAGCTGATTTGTTTTCGAAGAATAAATGGGTGCACTGCCACAGTACCTACATATCCTTCTGGGAAAAGGTTCCAACAAAAATATCTGAAGACCCAACTCAAAAGAATCTATACTTTTTCTGCAACTTGAATAAGTTTTGGAAAGAATCTGAAAACTGAAAATCTGGGCAAAGAATCAAGCAATTGAAAATTATAGCTCTAACTTATCTATCGAAGAAGAATACGTATTTTTAATTCTTACAACTGTTAATCCCCATAAACTCAGTCTACTTGCATATCACCAATTCACTACAAAATTCATGATTATAGAAATATATCAGTCTCTCCCACACAGAACTTACCCCAATTTGAGATAAATAAAACAAAAACAGGACTTCAAATCAAGCATAAACAGTATGTTTTTTGAAATAATTGATTCTTATTACCCCATCTATCACAGCATTTATGCATACACCACAAAATTCAGATGAGTATGACTTAGAAGCAGCAAATGGCACTTGATTTATGCATAGCATGATGTCCATGTAATCTACTTTCCTAGCAATGTTAAAGAGCCAGTAAATAAATCCATGTCAATCTTCAACACCCTTAACCATCTAATGGACTACTACCAGTGCCTTATTATCATAAGATACGAAAATCACATAACTAATTTGGAGCAATGTTTTTTGTATAGAAAAAAAAAGAATAGTTTACAGCATAGTCATACAGACATACAGAATGCACTCCAAGATTTCATCTTGCTTTTACCTTAAGTGCCCACCTGCGTACAAAGTACGCGCGAGAGCTTCGTCATTATCATTGTATCTTTTTGAGCTCTAGAACAGCAAAATCAAGATTATTCCGTGCATCAATCACAAAAAGAAATAATAATAAGGAAAATGGTAATCCATATGAAGATAGAAGACCAGTTGATTGATTTTAAGTTGATAGAAACAATCATACCAATTTCCTAACAAAAAATAGAAGATCGTCATCTTGTCTTCCTCTGGACTCCTTGCCGCGAACAAAATACAAATCAAAGACGTCATGCCAAAACTGTGAATCCATTGCAACATCTGCAGCATCTTGTTCATCGACTGTGGTTTTCCCCAACAAGTTTGAGTGCTTTTTTACCATACTGAGTAATTCACACCTAGAAAACAGATATTTCAGAAACAAAAAGCATTTTAAGTCTAAATAGATGTCTCATATGAAGTTTAACTTATAAAAATTATTTAAAATAGATCTTGTGAAAAAAAAAAAAGAACAGAAAACTATATCGATGAATTTCAGAATTCAGATAAAGAGAACATCCACGCAAGATTGACCGCATTCACGCAACTTGAATCTCAATAATCAAGATCAAACTTAAGCAGTTAAACTTGCATAATCTAAATTCAGAATTTACCTTATTCACTATTATACTTCTAATTCCATGGCATCAACATTTCCTCTTCAATGCAAAATCAAATCAAAAGACTTGAAATAAATTTCACTCAAGCACAATGATGAGTGTTGCAAACAAGGCAACAGATGAACTACTATTATTGAGCAAAAACAAGCACTGATTAAATTAGCAACTTGAAGAATAACAATTAAAAAGCGGAAACCAGTCAAATGTGATCATGTACCTTGAAGGCGTTTCTCCTCCATCACCGAGCATTTCTTCTCGGCCGTTGATTTGCTTATCCCTGCCCGAATTCAGTGAGTTTCTCCGACTAACACAACACTTCCTGATCGATCCGGAAATGGAGCCTAGGGTTTAAAGTCCGCACTTATGTTAGAAACAAACAAAAGAAAAACGAGGCGCGAGCGTTTCCCCCTCCCTTTGATCTGTCCCTGCGTGTTACAGTAGCTACTTGTCGACTTGACTTGCGTGCGTCAGGGAGAAGGCAGTTTTTTTTTTCGGTAATTTCGATTATTATGAACTTTGGTTTCGAGGAATTATTCGGTATGGTGAGGTGTAAATTAAAGGAATGGAAGACAGGACAGACATCGAGGGTTTTATGGTAATTTCGTCGTGAACACGCTTCGGTTACCCCGTGGATTTGGGCCGTCTAGCGGTCATGCTCTGTTTTTCAGCCTGCATGGCGCAAGTTCGGATTTTCTTTATGTGAATAATTTTTTTGTCATTTTAAGAATATTTTAATGCCTTATGAATTATATAATAAGTCTGTTTTAAACGTATTTTACTTTATTTAATTTCTATATTTTAATTACTTGATATATCTAAAATATTCAAATTCATATATTTTATACGTAATAAAATTATTTCTTTTGAATTTTTGAGTAAATTACTGAAAACATGGTTGCATTTATGTTATAAAAGCCCAATTTATGGTATCTATGTTTTTTAAAGGAAATTACTATTTTTAGTCTTTGAATTCTGACCCATTTTTTAATTTAATCCTCAAAGTATTTTTTTTTGTTAAAAATTAGTTTATAAACTTTGATATTTTTCCAAAAGATTAATTTTGTTAAATTTTGAATAAAAAAAAGTAGACCCGAGTTAGATTGTGTTTGTTGCACCCGGAAAGGAGGAAAAAAAAAAAAAAAAAAAAAAAAAAAAAGGGGGGGCCACGTCAGCAGCCACGTCAGCAGGCCCGATCAGCAGTCCCGGCCAACCAGGGCCTGCCACGTGGCAAGATCGCGTCACTCCGAAAGGAGCCACGTTGGCGATCCGCGTGGGTGCGATCCGACGGCCCAAATCAATCGCGCGATCGGACGGCCCAGATTCAAACGCACGGACGGCCCAGATTCAATCAAAAACGAACGGCCCAGATTAAAACGAAATGAACGGCTGTGATCAAAAGGCAAGGGGTTATAAATAGAACCCCCACACCAGACCACAAACCCTAGCCGCCAGCCGCTCGCCGGAGAAGACGAACCAGAGGCCGACCGCCGCCACCCGCCGCCACTCGCCGCCGCACCGGGGAAATTTCCGACCGCCGATCGAGGTAAATTTCATACCTCCGACTCGTTTTTCCCCGCTGATTCCTCCTATGGCCAAATCGAGGCCGAAATCCCGGCCAAACGGCCGGAATACGCTGCCGAAGCCCAGCGGCGCCGCCGCGCCCCCTCTCGGTTTTTGCCTCCGACGAGGCCCTTCCCGGCCTCCGTTCGATGCAATTTTTATATCACCGTGATCACCATTCTTTTCTCTACAGGTTGACCGGAGCCGAATCACCAAAACACGAACCTCGCCGGAGAGCCGCTGCACCCGAGTGCACCGCCGCCGTTAAGCTCCGTTTTTCCGTGATTTTTTTGGCCCCCCGAGGGCCCTAGGGTTGTTTTCTGACAAGGACCAATGCGAGCGTGGCCGAATTCGGCCAAAAACGGCCGAAAACAGCCAACCCGAGGCGACTCGCCGCCGCTGGAGCACGGCGGAGCCGCCGTGCCGGAGTTGCGATTTGGGCCGAAAGAGGCCCTGGGCCTAATTTGGATTTTTTTGGAACACGTGCAGGTACTCTTAGTGTGTTTCAGTTTCCCGGGAAAAATTCAGGGAAAATTAGGGACGGCCTGCGGGCGCACTGTGAATCGTATTCGGATCTCGAAAACAAGTAAGGACCCCTCACCCTATTTCCTATCACGGTATTAAAGTTCAAAATGATAAAACGGTATTTCTTGAATTAACGCATGTGTGAAATTGCTTAAGGTTGCTAATGGAGCCCGAGTCTAGTGTGATTGATGATTTACTGTTATTTGGCCTGTTTACAGCTTTAAATGCAAAATGAGGTTTGATGTGTTCATTTTACAGATTTGTGTGCATGTACTACGTTTTTATTAATTATGGGTTGAATGACTGAAAAACTGATACTGTATGTTGTCTGTTTGGTATGAATTACGATTTGCTTGTTTAAATGTGAATTGATGATGCTGATTGAGAAAAAGGAAAATGAAAGATTGTGTAGACTGATAATTGTATTATGGGAGTCAGCCTAACTAGATATCCTGGGAGATGGTGGACGGACCAGGTCCGTAGGGAACCCTACCGGGATTGTGGTCTCACATGCCGGACGGGGTATGGAGATCTTATGGTTTTGGCGCCCATACCGGACGGGGTATGGGGACGGCCCGTTTCACCCTCATACCGGACGGGGTATTGAGGTTTATGGTTTTGGCGCCCATACCGGACTGGGTATGGGGACGACCCGTTTCACCCTCATACCGGACGGGGTATTGAGGTTCATGGTTTTGGCGCCCATACCGGACGGGGTATGGGGACGGCCCTGGAAACTGATTATGAATGTTAAAGGTTAACGGGTAGCGGAACCCCTATGGACCCCCACGGATACTAGTAGGCTGGTAAATGAGAAAAAAAAGATATGTTGTACAATGATTGAATTACAAGAGGCGTGATAAGTGTTATGTTTTACAGCTTAGATTATTCAATGATTATGATAATGTTATTGTTTTTCTCATATTGTTTTCATAAATTCCACCAAGGTAAGTGGATGGTAAAGGTTTTCATGTTAATAAACGAGTTTGTTGTAAATTATGCTCCATTGGTCTTTTTGTGTTTTTCTACCCACCTTTATCTCCGTGACGGTG